GATCACACACTCATTCACCCCGGTTTAATGTTACATTAAAAGGCTTTCTATCAAAAAAAAAAATTGTTTCGCGCTGCAAATGCTACGGGCTGCTCGAAACGTTGGGGGGCTTATCAGAACGCATATGAGGCTTACAAATCTGCTATTCACGGTGCTAATGTTGTGTATTTTAATCAGACCTTGCCGAATATGTTGTCTACTAAACCTAAGCAGTTTTGGAACATTATTGGTGATAACAATTCGAACAAAATCTCAATCAGGGTGGATGATTGTGTCATACCTAGTAAAGACTGTGCTGATATTTTAAACACGGCTTTTGTTAAATCTTTTTCCAGTGTAATTAACATGTCATCTTGTTCATTACCTCATTGCAACTTCATGCCTACGGAACATTTCGAAATGAATTCCATTGGCATTGCTCGAGTAATCGATAACCTTAAAATATCATCCAGTGCTGGTGTCGATAATGTTAACTCCGAATTAAAAAAAAAACACTAATGTATATTCTTCCATTATACTGTCAAAAATATTCACCCAATCGCTAGATCTCGGTGTCCTCCCAGACGATTGGAAAGTTGGGAAGCTGGTTCCGTTGCGCAAAGGATGTGATAAGCATTCCCCTAACAAATATAGACCAATCTCACTCACTAGCATACCGTCTAAAATACTTTAACATATGTCATTTATTTTCAGCTTGTTAATTCTTTGGAGTCTAACCTGTTTTTCAACGCTACTCAACATAGATTTCGAAAATCATTTTCTTGCGAGACCCAGCTTTTATTACTTATTAAAGGCTTGCGCTCCGTTCTTGATAGGGGGTCCCAGATAGACTGCGCATTTTCGGATTCCTCGAACGCGTTCGATGAAGTCTCACACGAGTTGCTTTTGTTGAAACTAAATAACCTTCGCATTGATGCTAATGTTTTGGCTTGGATCCATGCTTTCTCACTAACCGATTCCAGTTCGTTACCGCCAATAACCATACATCTCCGCTCGCGTCAGTGACCTCCGGCGTCCCTCACGGTCCTGTATTAGGCCCACTTCTGTTTTAATCTTTATTAATGACCGGCCCAATAACATTTCTTTCTCAGTTAACCTTTTTGCAGATGATTGTGTCATTCGCCATGAAATCGATGATGGTTCAGATGTTATCAAGCTCCAGACAGACATTAACGTTATTCTTTATTGGTGTGAAACTTGGCATTTGGAGCTTAACACAACCAAGTGCAAAGTAATGAGAGTGTCTCGTAATCATTCAGTTTCTCCCTGCTGCTGTCTTAACAATGTTCTTTTTCTTTCTGTGTCGTCTTACAAGTACCTGGGCGTACACATAACATCTGATCTTTCTTGGAAAATACACATTGAATACGTTATTAGTAATGTTATTCGCATGCTTAGCTTTTTAAAACGTAATTTTTCCTTTAGCTCCCTCCTCTTTAAAATTAACTCTTTATAAAACACTTCTTCGCTCAAAGCTTGAATACGCGCCGTCTATCTGGGACCCGAGCCTTTTGAATTTGGTTAACCCCCTAGAAGCAGTTCAAAATCGTTCCGCTTGTTTTATCCTCATAAATATCAACGTACTGCATTTGTCACCTCTATGAAATTTAACTTATCTTTGCCTAGTCGTGCCTCACGCCGAAATGTAGCCCGTTTATGTCCCTTCCATAATGTATTTCACACTAACTCATTCCTCAGTCAACGTCTCCTCACACCACTTTTCTATGTTTCATCCCGTCTTGATCATCCTCATAAAGTAGGTGTACCACTATGTAGCACGAACACATTTCAACAATCTTTCATTCCCAAGATTTCTTTGGATTGGAACCGCTTCCCCACCTCCATCGTCATAATCCAGGCGGATGATTGGTTTAAAACTGCTGTTTCTAATTTCTATTGTTCATAACTAATATCTGCTCTGCCGTTAAGTCATTCATTGTATAATTTTTTTGTTGAATACAACCCACTCCCCTCTGCAATGCCTTTGGATCTGGGTGTATTGATATAAATAAATAAATAAATACCATCCTATTGATGCTACCCCGCGGCCGCGCGAGGTGAAGTGGTAGAGGACATAATAGGGAAGTTTCAACTGCCCTTTTTCTAGTTTTATGCAATCTGTATGGTCCATAGCTTTAACTGTTACAAAAACACAACCTCTCCATCCTCTTAAAACACAAATAGTATGAACTAACTCAAGCCAATACAAAGGCTTTTGTCGTGATTCGAAAGACATGTCGTCCTGAACCTTGACGACATATGCAGTAATACCCTTTTTGTCAATCATCCGATATTTGAAAGATAACTGTGGTGGCATTTGTCCGGGACCGTTGACTCTGTGCGCTGATCAAACTTAATTGCAAAATACCCTCTTTATTTATGTTTTTGCTTTTTTTTGGAGGGGGGGGGGGCATTGGCACATCAAAATTTGAATTATATCCGAAAAATCTGAATTTTCCGAAGGTTTTACCGGCGGTTGTTTTTCGGAGTGTCGGATTTATCCGAAAACACGGAACCCTACTGATAAGCAGTCGTCACGATAGTGACGTCATAGCGCGCTTAGCATGGCAGCACAATCATGTCCCCTTATTTTCGTTACACAATAGTTATGGTCTGTACCAGTCCGGGAACTTGTTAGTACGACTACTGCGCCGCAGAGGTTCAAGCTGTTGAGGTGATGCAAAGGTTCGATGCGACGTCTGCGATGCGGGGCTTGGTTGCTGACTGGGATCCGGCTGATGCGGAGGAGCATTTTCAGGCGGCCCCGGCTGCGGTGCTGCAGGGCTTGTCGACTCCAACACTGGCACGGGAAGCCTCGTGATCGATTCCTCCGGCAGAGCATCTGCAATTAACTTGGCAGTGAACAAGAAAACGCGCTAGGCACAGATTCGGCGGCTTCAAAAGAGTACGGCCACAACTTGTCTGCATTCACAAACCTGTGTCCCCTTCCCACCCGAACGATGTAGGTGGCAGCATTGCGCCGCTCTTTTACGACTCCAAGCAACCACTTTGCCTCGCCACGACGATGGCCTTGCGCCAGTACGCGGTCGTCTACTTCAAATGATCTCCACGATTCCCTACTTTCGCCCGCTTTGTTTTTAGTTACGAAAAAACGTTCTTGCATGACCTTCTCTAAGCCGGGCTGTAGAAGACTCCGACAAGTGCGAAGCGTTTGTTTCTCAATCCTTGGTTTTTGGTTTGAAGATTTGCCGCTACCCGCATAAAACAAAAATGTGTGTTAACGCTTAGCTCTGGTGGACCAGGAACTACAGACCACGCAGTCTCTCAGGCAGCGAGTGGAGGGTCATAATAGCAGTGGAGGTGTTAAAATAGGTTTAGTTACTAGCCGAACGCGATACCTTCGCACCCCCGACGCACGCAAGGGAACGGTGCGAAAGCGTGGTTTTACTGCCTGGTCGTTGTTTGCGCATTCATATAGCTAGCCACTGCACGCATATTGGTTACACGAGCTCGCCTTATCAATAGAATTCAAGTAAAATATAGGAGAATGAGGCGTTGACAAACACACGTTCAAAAAGCTGTTTGCTTTAATTTTTTGCTTTTGAACTGCTGCAGACTCGATCACCTTTAGCGCGTTTAATTACACCCACGAGTTGACCCGGCCTTGGCTCTTGGGTAATCAACAAAAAATCTGCGAGAGCGGCGAACACACATGACGAAATTTCAGTATCTTTTAGACCGCTTAAATGAGTGAGATTTTTTTTATTTTCCTCGTGTATCAGTCACGTTAGCCAGTTTGCGGCCTGTGCCACTGAAGTAGTTTATAAGATTACTCTCAGTTGTGGTAGGGTGCATATAGGGCAAACCGAACACTGTTTAAATGACAGACTGCGAGAATACACTGCCTCACTTATAGGCGGTTTGGTTCACACGTGCGAACGCACTGCAAATTTGTGGATGTTCACCTACATTGAGCGGTGTGCAAGTGGCGGGGCGTAAAAACGAAAGGTTGAAAAGGGAGATGCTAGAAGCAGCTTTGATAGACACTTGTGACAAAGAATCGCATTGGCGTAGAATGTGTACTTTCAATAAAAAGAAAGAGTACGATTCTGTTGGTGGGGTTCAGGTTTTTTTTATTTTTTTTTGGTTGCATTGAGTACAGGCTGTTTCCTTCTTACGGTTTGTTTATAATGTTCTAATGTACATTTTGCGCCCTTCCTGTTACGTTATGCCGCTGCATATTGTGTAGTGCACATACACAGAACATTACAACACTGTTTCTATTGCCGCCCTTAATCATGAAGATAATTTTGTCTTTTTTCGTGTGGACGCTGAATGGTATTTATTTCATCAAGATACATGTGACTTTCCAGGTGTGTGTGCGAAAGATATGTTTACTGGGTGTTTTTTTGTATACCATTTAGTTGCAAGTTAGTGCTCGGCCCGTGTCTACTTCTGTGTCCCATGCTTTTTGTGCTACTCTTTTACCAGTGACGAATCGTGGCTGTTCATGTGGGGCAGCTGTATTTCAGAATTACAAGATTACAAATGGCGGAAGTCTGGAAGAAAACAGAACTGCCATTTTCTCACCGCAAAAAAACAAAACAAAAAAAAAACGACGAAATGTTGAACGTTCAGCCTCGGCCCTAATATTGCGCTAGCAGTTTGGACCAGTTGCCAAAGTTTCACAATTAACAGCCACCTAATTAAAAAGTCAAAGTGATTTTCTAAACTTTTCAATGGGAAAAAAGTGGCCCTCGGAGCCCACTAATAGATGAAGATGAAAGTCGAACGCTAACTGGAACGCTCCTCATTTTATAATTAAAACTTTTCGAATATCGTCGATGATTTTTGAATCAGGTAAAGGTAAGTCCTGACAATTTTGTATCTGGTCCTGACTGCTAGTCCTGCACATGGGCCAACACTAAGCATTCGGCAAATTGTAGTTTATTTTTGCGGTGACAAAATTACGGTTTTCTTTTATGCCAAACACCTGTATGATAACAGCTATTCTAAGGGATGGTTTTATACCTTTTCAGGTGGATGACGATTTCATTTTTCGATACGCAAGGGGTGATTTCTATGGCATGGTCAACTATTACCAATCAGTGCAATTCATGAAGGATGGAGCTCTAGGTTATGAAGTATCATTTGGGGAGGCAGACCTAGTTTTGTTTGTAACAGGGTAAGCATGGTTCGACATATTGGTGTTTGTTTTGCAATGAACGAGATCTTGTTAAAAAATGTAGAAGTTTCATTAAACATGACTTACGGGCACAGTTCGTTCAGGCTCCATTTTATTCGCAAATATTATTTTGAACTAAACATTTCAGGACTCCGTCTCTTATATAGCCTTCTCTCATTTTAGACTCGGGGCATTTTTTTAGGTTTGACATTGACTTGACCAAAGTATATTATACATTTAGGTAATCTCAGTAAATCTTAATATCGATGCTGAGCAGGGAAGCCGAACGTAGTCATTTCTGAAAATTCCAAAGGTAAGTAGGAATCTAAAAGTGATAATTCCCTCTATAAGTCTTGTCAACATCATATTAATTTATTCATTTTATATCACTTAATTATTTATTTTCATTTATTTCGCCACCCTCTAATAGCCAGTGAACGCTATTACTGGGATACAATACACGACATAGAAAAAAAGCAAAACGTACCAGTTAATACTAATAATAACGAACTAAACATTTGCCCATTGAAGAAACCCAACATAATGCCATGAAAAAATGCATAGACCAGAGGAAAAAGCTAATACAGAAAATGTAACATGTAATTACCCCAATATGAATAAAAGATTTCACTGCACATTGCGATATGCAATGGGCGCCTAAAAGTATATTTTCAACGCAATTAATCATCTGAGCAATGTAGACGACAAGACAGCGCATTCCATTCTAGGATATCTTACAAAAATAACTAAACTTAAACCAATATTTAAATAAAACCGGGCGGATATTATTTGATATGAAGATGCCAGAGCATCTGCGCGTGTAAATTGACTGCGTAAGGGATGACGTCATGACATGGCGCTGTGATCCAAACAAAACGTTGCTATGGCGGTTGTTATGGACAAATGCATAGGGGCTGAAAGCGAGATTTAAATTTTTCTTATAAAAAAGTGACTCATTTTTTAAGCATTGTGTCCCAGCAGTTTCTAACCATAAAGACCTTTTCTATCGTTTCAGTGCCATCAAGCGTTGATGAAGGGCCGTAATAAACTTTAACAACTGGTTTTGTCTTGCTATACCTCGTCGACCCCTAAGCTGGCAGCGTGGTGGTAGCTACGCGTTTGTTGGAGCAGTCATACCTCTCGCCACGTGGTCCCGCTCCTGCCCCATATCCACACACAGAGAGCGGAGTAAGGTGATGAAAGTGAGAAACTTGATTAGTCTGGAAACCCCTTACTCCCACCGCACTGTTAAAAAGAGCATAGCAGACGAGACGATGACTTCGCGGGTGTAGTAGTTCTTTTTGATGGAACACGCGACTGTGTTGCATCAAAAGGGCAGTGCAACGATATTCACTTAAAATTTTCTTTTGACTTCAGAAGAGCTTATTGCCACTAATGGGGACCCGAACGTACTCGCGCGAAAGGCTACTGACCAAGAAACGTCTTTGTTACGGTGTAATTTCAAGAAGAAAATCGTTTTTGTTTGAACCTCTCCCTCGCAAAAACCTGATAACGTAGCTTGGAGACCGCCGAGCCTGCATGATCCCCCAATGACGATATTTGTATGCGGCTTGAAGATTGTACCCGATCATTACGTGAGCACTTGATATGAACTAGTGATAATCACTTGCTCCACAAGCATTCGGATAGTGGCTCATGTCGAATAGCTGGAATGACGACGATTGCCGAACCATAACAATGTCTGAAACTCCGCGTTATGTTCAGTGCTTTGCTAAATACAAAGTTGGCTATGATTGACGTTGGCGTCATATACTCGGCTCCAGATCACGTGGCTTCTCGTTTTGACTGCGAAATGACAAGTCGAACTCTGCACTTTTTTTTTTTTTTTTTTTTTTTTTGCGACTACAATTGCAGCGGGAGAAAAACGAACGCGCTTCGTATAGGTTATGAACGTCAGGGACTCACTGTAAACGGTATTTCCGCACAATACATATATTGTTACACCGCCCTTTGATATTTGGGACCAACAACCAAGCTTGTATTCTCGTGAACAAATTCTTTTTGTATTTCAGAAGCCAAGAGTGCTCACGTTGTGGTCGGGTTGCCTTGCTGCAAACCCGACCCGAAGAAATAACACGGAGCCAACAGCATCAACAAGAAACTACATTTAATTGGACATAGACAAGACGATGAATACACTTAACGTCGTTACCAGCGGCGCTTGAGTCCGGGCAGCGACTGCCATTGCGCCGCCTCCGCTCCGCCTTATCAAGGTGGCGCGCGCGATCTACGCATGTCCGCCTTCATTCCGCCGCCACGCGGGAGAGTTCGCCTCCTGTGCCCCGTAGTCAGACAACTGGGCTGGGGAGCCGCCAGCCGAGTTGCCCGACTACGGTTTTAAGGTCGGACATGGCTTAAGGTCGGTGACATGAACAACTCCGGTTTTTTCACCAGACTCACAGTGAACTAGATTGTAAGTTAGTGGTGAGCACTTTTAATGCACGCTAAACGGACCTTCCAACCTGCTTGCGAGGGATGCTGTGAAGCCTCGAGCGGCGTAACTCAGTGGGTGAGTACGCTGGACTGCAAAATCTCCCACCTCAAACTGCAGGTCACGTCGTTGTTTGTTCTGTTCCCACTGCTTCACTCGGGCGATGTTAAATTTTTCTGGTCCTTCTTGAACGTTGTCATGGAAGCACTTTCGCAGATTCTCTGCGAACGTCACGTAGAGGCAAAGCCTTCCCCCAGATTCTGTAGAAAGGAGGCTGTTAAAAAGCGGAAACGCGAGCGCCTTGCCAAACTTCAATTGGGCAGGACTTAGGTCCGTTGACCGATTAGTAATCGTACGGGTTGCGAATGTCAGAGATCCGGCAGTCTCGCGTCCCAGCCCTTGTTGCGCTCGGTGTAGACCATTAACATAATCTTCAGGTTCCGACTGACCTTTTCTGTGATAGAAGTGTATCCATTTGGGCTAGTTGGTGATCCATCTTTCTGAGTGTAGCAGCGCTAAAAACAACGCACAGGTAAAGGAAACGAACACAGAGCACTACTTGTAGCTGAAGTTTATTCTCGGAAAACACACATGTGTGTGTGTATATATATATATATATACCCATCTGTGTTATATATATACACACGACATGTACGAGAGAAATGCGCTTGCATCTGCCTGCACAACGATTGGCTTGTTCAACTCTAGGATATGTAATCAAGCGTTGTCAGACATGGATGCTGAAAGGGCTGCGGATGCCCATTTTTTTTCGGCCGAACATCGCTTGACGCCTCTTTTTCAAAAAGTGATTGAGCGGTTAGGATATCTCGGAACATTGTGGAATGAAATCCCTGTAGAATGCGATCATTCCGAATTATATTTTTGTTTTCTTTACGTCCTGTGGGTTCGGTATTTCGCTAGTGCGCTCAACTTATGTTCGTTGGGGCGGAGCGTGCCATTATCCACAACGAATTCAAGAAGGTTAATCTTGGGCGCGGCCAACTGAACTTTTCCGGAATGAATCGTGAGGCCAGTATTTCACACTCGCTCAAGTACAATGCAGATGTATTCGACATGCTCCTCAATAGTTCTCGAGATAACAACCACGTCATCCATGCATGCCAGGAAAAATTCGTGCTTCGAGTTCCCAAATACAACATCCATAAGGCGTTGAAAACTGGCTGGAGAGTTAGACAAGCCAAACGGCAATCGAGTGAACTCAAACAGCCCAATGAGGCAGATGAAAGCCGTTTCTGAAACATCTGGTGGGTGAATCTTGGTCTGAAGAAACCCGAGACTGCAACCCAGCGTTGTAAACACGGTCGCGTTACCGAGCGCGTACATCACAAAGAAATGGCTGGGGAAAGGGTAGCTGTCTCGTACGGACACATCGTTAAGCCGCCTGTATTCCACACAGAGTCTAGCTGTTCCGTCTTTTTTTTTTCGGATCATGAAAAACGAAAAACGCCCAAGGGCTCTTCGACTCACATACTGAGCCGGTGCCGATCATCTCCTCAAGCGCCGCATTTAGCAGTGCCCTTTTGTGGACGCTCATCGGTCGAGGGTTGCACCTCCGATGTGGCGCGTCACCGGCTTCAATGCGGTGTAGCAGGATTTCAGTCTTTCCAGGCGTTTCAGTACGTAACGGTGACAAAGACTGCAGAAGGGCTTGCAGCACCTGCTTCTGCTGGCTACTTGCGGGGCACTTTCGCAACAATTCTCGAACGCCGGAATTCAAGACGTTCGAGGCCAGGGTGAAGTAGGCTGCAGTGCGCGGTTTACGGATACAGTCCTCCCGTCTGGTAAGTGGAGTCAGCTCCGGTTGTTGTCTTAGCCGGTATCCGCCGCAAAAGACGTCGAGTGTCATGCTTTCGCCTGTAATGAAATCTTGGCCCAAGAACACAGGTTTCACGAGTTCAAACAGATAAAGAAATTGCTTTTGCCGCTCCTTTCCACTAAACAGAGTCTGCACCTTCACGGCTCCTCCAGTTGTTATCGCTGTACAAGAAGCTAGCTGCAAATGGGTTTCGCATTCCCGGAGGCGTATCTTGTTTGCTTTGGAGAGTTCAAAACTGAAATCCCCCATAAGCGAGATAGCGGCCCCAGAATTCAAAAGCGCGGCGATGAGAATATCAAGAAGTGAAATCGTCATGCGCGGTTCAATTATGTGAGGCACGGCCTGGATTCGACATTCCGATGGAATCTGTGCCGCGCCCTCGCTGCTCTCAAGGACTGCAATGGCCGTTGGCCACTGGCTGTCTGGTTTCAGCGTCGCCAGCCGCAATAGTTTCCCTGGTTCTGGTTCCGGCCCTTCACCGCCGTCTCGTGCCACCTCTTCTTTGTCGTGTCCAGAAGTCTTGGAGACTGGTTTTAGTGATGGCCGGGCTGCTTGCACTCGTAGCACCAGTCCCAAGGCAGTTGGCTGCTTCGGCCACCCGCACCGAAGTGACCGTCGGACCGCCTCCAGTGATTGGGTAAAGAACCACTATGGGAGGGCCTCCACCAGACTTTCGACCGGCTTTTGTTGGGAAGGCTTGTTTTGCTGCGG